TTGTTGATCATTTGCCAATTTGTCTAACTGTTTGTAGATGTCTATGTTGGTCCAATCCCTTTCTTGGTTAGTTCTATCCAGGCTGTCTCTCTCCTTTACTTCTTCATAAACCAAACTGTCTTCCATTTGCGGTCCTTCGTGTTTCTCTACTTCTTTACCTTTAGACATGCCAGTTAAAATTTGTGTTATCATAAATTTTAGTTTATTCAGTGATTCCTTGCAACTGATTATGTTTTGCTTTTGGTCATTTAAGGCAGAGCGATCCTGCTGCAGCACAGAGAAAAGACTCTGAATGTCATTTTTGTTTCCCAGCATTTTGGTTGACAGGTATTGCATTTCCTCCTGTAGGCATTTATTGCGTTGCTGAAGTTGATCACAAAAGGTCTCTACAGAGCTGATTTTATAGCTAAACCTACTCTCTTTCTCATGCAATTCAGACAGCTTTCTGTTCACTGCTTCCTTTTCATCATCAAGTGCATGTTTTTCAATGTCAGTTTGTGTTACCTTATCTAACTGTTGTCTCTCTGCTTCTATGGCAACATCATGCACTTTTCTAATCTGGTCCAGGTTTTCTTCATACCATTGCTGGCCATCTTCATATTTTGGTTTCAGTTCTTGCTGCTTGTCAACAACAGAACTGACAAGTAATTTCACTTGTGTCTGAATGGCTGATAACGTGTCTTTTTCTTTCTTTATGTTATCCAATATGAGGTCTAAGGGTTCTGTTCTTTCTTGCACCTCTGCTTTTAAGAGGACCAGTTTGTCCACAGCCCTTTGGATCATTTTCTCTTTTTGCTCTAACCTGTCATTAAGTGTTTTGAACTTATGCAACTCTTTTTTGTCTCTCTCTTCAGTCAGCTCTTCCATCTTCACAAAATCTTGGTCAACTTCTACTTCTTGTGCTTTGATTTCCATTTCACCCCTGAGTTCTTTAAACAGCTTTTTCTCCTCTGGACACTTGTTGCATTGCTATACTTTCTTTTGCTCTCTTAACTTCCTCCATTGACAACTCCAGTTTTTCATTTTCAGCTTGTAAGTTTCCTATGCTTGCCTTTATTTGTTCTTTCTCTTGATTGTAGATGTTTATAGCAGTTTTATTTGCTGTCTTTTCTTGCTCCAGATCTTCCCTCAGCTTCTCTAATTGTTGTTTCTCTACCTGCCACAGCTGACGGTAAGTTTGAAGCTCCTTAAATCGTGTCTCAAGTTCATTTTGTCTTTGCTCTAGTTCTTGTTTCAGTTTGTCTTGTTGGCGTTCTACTTCATCTCTCTTAATGTCCAGATCTTTCCTCAGTTCCACAAGTTGCTCCTTCTCTTCTTCAGTGTAGCTCTTAGCATCCTCAGTCTCTAAACCTTTATCTCTCACTTCTTCCATCGACGTCACTTGTTCTTGGTCACTTTCTGGTTTTGTCCTGCCTTTGCGAAGCTGTTGTTTCTCTTCATTCAAGATTCTCAAAGTGGCTTCACTTTCTTGCTTTTGTCGGTCTAGTTCTTCCCTTAATTCCTCCAATTGTTTTATGTCTTTCTTTACCAGCTCATTGGAACTTTGCAGCTCTTGAATTTGTATCTCCAATTTGTTCATTCGCAAATCTAATTCTGTAGTGGATGTGACTTTTTTCAGGTAGTCTTTCTCCAACTGGACCTCCTTTCTCTTCTCCTCCAGCTCTTGCATTTGTGTCTCCAGTTCCTTTCTTCTCAACTCTAGTTCTGTAGTGGCTGCGAGTTCTCGTTGCTTCAGGTTGTCTTTTTCATGCTGTAATTCCTGTTTCTTCTCCTCCAACTCTATGTTCTGTTGATGAAGTTTTTGTTTTTCTTTACTGATGAGGTCCATTGCTTCTGCAGTTTCTTTCTGTTGCCTGTTCCACATTCTCCACCCATATTTCCAGTTTTTCTTTTTCATCTTTTAGTTTTCTATTTTCCTCCTTTATTTGTTCTTTCTCTTCATTGTAGATGTTTATAGCAGTTTCAGTTGTTGTCCTTTCTTGCTCCAGGTCTTTCTTCATCTCCTCCAAATGTTGTTTCTCTTTCCTGCCACAGCTGACTGTAAGTTTGAAGCTCTTTAAATCGTGTCTCAAGTTCATTTTGTCTTTGTTGTAGTTCTTGTCTCAGTTTGTCTTGTTGGCGTTCTACTTCCTCTCTCTTAATGTCCAGATCTTTCCTCATTTCCACAAGTTTCTCCTTCTCTTCTTCAATGCAGTTCTTAGTGACCTCAGTCTCTTCCTCAAGCTGTTTTTTCTCTTCAATTATGAGGTTCAAAGCAATTTCATTTTCCTGTCTTTGTCGGTCAAGTTCTTTCCTTGATTCTTCCAGATGTTTTCTGTCTTCCTTTAGCAACTCACTGGAGCTTTGCAGTGCTTCTATTTGTGTCTCCAGTTCCTTTTTCCTCAACTCTAGATATGCAGTGGTTGTGAGTTCTTCTTGTTTCAGGTTGTCTTTTTCATGCTGTAATTCCTGTCTCATCTCCTCCAACTCTGTGTTTTGTTGTTGAAGTTTTAGCTTTTCGTCATTGATTAGGACTATTGTTTCTGCAGTTTCTTTCTGTTGCCTGTTCACATCTTCCACTAAGAGCTCCAGGTTTTCTTTTTCAACTTGTAGTTTCCTTTTTTCCTCCTTTATTTGTTCTTTCTCTTCATTGTAGATGCTTATAGCAGTTTCAGTTGTTGTCCTTTCTTGCTCCAGGTCTTTCTTCATCTCCTCCAAATGTTGTTTCTCTTCCTGCCACAGCTGACTGTAAGTTTGAAGCTCTTTAAATCGTGTCTCAAGTTCATTTTGTCTTTGTTGTAGTTCTTGTTTCAGTTTGTCTTGTTGGCGTTCTACTTCCTCTCTCTTAATGTCCAGATCTTTCCTCATTTCCACAAGTTTCTCCTTCTCTTCTTCAATGCAGTTCTTAGTGACCTCAGTCTCCTCCTCAAGCTGTTTTTTCTCTTCAATTATGAGGTTCAAAGCAACTTCATTTTCCTGTCTTTGTCGATCAAGTTCCTTCCTTGATTCTTCCAGATGTTTTCTGTCTTCCTTTAGCAACTCACTGGAGCTTTGCAGTGCTTCTATTTGTGTCTCCAGTTCCTTTTTCCTCAACTCTAGATATGCAGTGGTTGTGAGTTCTTCTTGTTTCAGGTTGTCTTTTTCATGCTGTAATTCTTGTCTCATCTCCTCCAACTCTGTGTTTTGTTGTTGAAGTTTTAGCTTTTCATCATTGATTAGGACTATTGTTTCTGCAGTTTCTTTCTGTTGCCTGTTCACATCTTCCACTAAGAGCTCCAGGTTTTCTTTTTCAACTTGTAGTTTCCTTTTTTCCTCCTTTCATTTGTTCTTTCTCTTCATTATAGATGCTTATAGCAGTTTCAGTTGTTGTCCTTTCTTGCTCCAGGTCTTTCTTCATCTCCTCCAAATGTTGTTTCTCTTCCTGCCACGACTGACTGTAAGTTTGAAGCTCTTTAAATCGTGTCTCAAGTTCATTTTGTCTTTGTTGTAGTTCTTGTCTCAGTTTGTCTTGTTGGCGTTCTACTTCCTCTCTCTTAATGTCCAGATCTTTCCTCATTTCCATGAGTTTCTCCTTCTCTTCTTCAATGCAGTTCTTAGTGACCTCAGTCTCCTCCTCAAGCTGTTTTTTCTCTTCATTTATGAGGTTCAAAGCAACTTCATTTTCTTGTCTTTGTCGGTCAAGTTCCTTCCTTGATTCTTCCAGATGTTTTCTGTCTTCCTTTAGCAACTCACTGGAGCTTTGCAGTGCTTCCATTTGTGTCTCCAGTTCCTTTTTCCTCAACTCTAGATATGCAGTGGTTGTGAGTTCTTCTTGTTTTAGGTTGTCTTTTTCATGCTGTAATTCCTGTTTCTTCTCCTCCAACTCTATGTTCTGTTGATGAAGTTTTTGTTTTTCTTTACTGATGAGGTCCATTGCTTCTGCAGTTTCTTTCTGTTGCCTGTTCACATTCTCCACCAATATTCCCAGTTTTTCTTTTTCATCTTTTAGTTTTCTATTTTCCTCCTTTATTTGTTCTTTCTCTTGATTATAGATGCTTATAGCAGTTTCAGTTGTTGTCCTTTCTTGCTCCAGGTCTTTCTTCATCTCCTCCAAATGTTGTTTCTCTTCCTGCCACGACTGACTGTAAGTTTGAAGCTCTTTAAATCGTGTCTCAAGTTCATTTTGTCTTTGTTGTAGTTCTTGTTTCAGTTTGTCTTGTTGGCGTTCTACTTCCTCTCTCTTAATGTCCAGATCTTTCCTCATTTCCACAAGTTTCTCCTTCTCTTCTTCAATGCAGTTCTTAGTGACCTCAGTCTCTTCCTCAAGCTGTTTTTTCTCTTCATTTATGAGGTTCAAAGCAACTTCATTTTCCTGTCTTTGTCGGTCTAGTTCTTTCCTTGATTCTTCCAGATGTTTTCTGTCTTCCTTTAGCAACTCACTGGAGCTTTGCAGTGTTTCCATTTGTGTCTCCAGTTCCTTTTTCCTCAACTCTAGATATGCAGTGGTTGTGAGTTCTTCTTGTTTCAGGTTGTCTTTTTCATGCTGTAATTCCTGTTTCTGCTCCTCCAACTCTACGTTCTGTTGATGAAGTTTTAGCTTTTCATCATTGATTAGGACTATTGTTTCTGCAGTTTCTTTCTGTTGCCTGTTCACATCTTCCACTAAGAGCTCCAGGTTTTCTTTTTCAACTTGTAGTTTCCTTCTTTCCTCCTTTATTTGTTCTTTCTCTTCATTATAGATGCTTATAGCAGTTTCAGTTGCTGTCCTTTCTTGTTTCAGGTCTAGTCTCAGCTGCTCCAATTGATCTTTCTCTTTCTGCCACGACTGACTGTAAGTTTGAAGCTCTTTAAATTGTGTCTCAAGTTCATTTTGTCTTTGTTGTAGTTCTTGTCTCAGTTTGTCTTGTTGGCGTTCTACTTCCTCTCTCTTAATGTCCAGATCTTTCCTCATTTCCACAAGTTTCTCCTTCTCTTCTTCAATGCAGTTCTTAGTGACCTCAGTCTCCTCCTCAAGCTGTTTTTTCTCTTCAATTATGAGGTTCAAAGCAACTTCATTTTCTTGTCTTTGTCGGTCTAGTTCTTTCCTTGATTCTTCCAGATGTTTTCTGTCTTCTGTTAGTAGCTCATTGGAGCTTTGCAGTGCTTCCATTTGTGTCTCCAGTTCCTTTTTCCTCAACTCTAAATATGCAGTGGTTGTGAGTTCTTCTTGTTTCAGGTTGTCTTTTTCATGCTGTAATTCCTGTTTCTGCTCCTCCAACTCTACGTTCTGTTGATGAAGTTTTAGCTTTTCATCATTGATTAGGACTATTGTTTCTGCAGTTTCTTTCTGTTGCCTGTTCACATCTTCCACTAAGAGCTCCAGGTTTTCTTTTTCAACTTGTAGTTTCCTTCTTTCCTCCTTTATTTGTTCTTTCTCTTCATTATAGATGCTTATAGCAGTTTCAGTTGTTGTCCTTTCTTGTTTCAGGTCTTGTCTCAGCTGCTCCAATTGATCTTTCTCTTTCTGCCACAACTGACTGTAAGTTTGAAGCTCTTTAAATCGTGTCTCAAGTTCATTTTGTCTTTGTTGTAGTTCTTGTTTCAGTTTGTCTTGTTGGCGTTCTACTTCATCTCCCTTAATGTCCAGTTCTTTCCTCATTTCCACAAGTTTCTCCTTCTCTTCTTCAATGCAGTTCTTAGCGACCTCAGTCTCTTCCTCAAGCTGTTTTTTCTCTTCAATTATGAGGTTCAAAGCAACTTCATTTTCTTGTCTTTGTCGGTCTAGTTCTTTCCTTGATTCTTCCAGATGTTTTCTGTCTTCTGTTAGTAGCTCATTGGAGCTTTGCAGTGCTTCCATTTGTGTCTCCAGTTCCTTTTTCCTCAACTCTAAATATGCAGTGGTTGTGAGTTCTTCTTGTTTCAGGTTGTCTTTTTCATGCTGTAATTCCTGTTTCGTCTCCTCCAACTCTATGTTCTGTTGATGAAGTTTTTGTTTTTCTTTACTGATGAGGTCCATTGCTTCTGCAGTTTCTTTCTGTTGCCTGTTCACATTCTCCACCAATATTCCCAGTTTTTCTTTTTCATCTTTTAGTTTTCTATTTTCCTCCTTTATTTGTTCTTTCTCTTGATTATAGATGCTTATAGCAGTTTCAGTTGTTGTCCTTTCTTGCTCCAGGTCTTTCTTCATCTCCTCCAAATGTTGTTTCTCTTCCTGCCACGACTGACTGTAAGTTTGAAGCTCTTTAAATCGTGTCTCAAGTTCATTTTGTCTTTGTTGTAGTTCTTGTCTCAGTTTGTCTTGTTGGCGTTCTACTTCCTCTCTCTTAATGTCCAAATCTTTTGTCATTTCCACAAGTTTCTCCTTCTCTTCTTCAATGCAGTTCTTAGTGACCTCAGTCTCTTCCTCAAGCTGTTTTTTCTCTTCAATTATGAGGTTCAAAGCAACTTCATTTTCTTGTCTTTGTCGGTCTAGTTCTTTCCTTGATTCTTCCAGATGTTTTCTGTCTTCTGTTAGTAGCTCATTGGAGCTTTGCAGTGCTTCCATTTGTGTCTCCAGTTCCTTTTTCCTCAACTCTAAATATGCAGTGGTTGTGAGTTCTTCTTGTTTCAGGTTGTCTTTTTCATGCTGTAATTCTTGTCTCATCTCCTCCAACTCTGTGTTTTGTTGTTGAAGTTTTAGCTTTTCATCATTGATTAGGACTATTGTTTCTGCAGTCTCTTTCTGTTGCCTGTTCACATCTTCCACTAAGAGCTCCAGGTTTTCTTTTTCAACTTGTAGTTTTCTTCTTTCCTCCTTTATTTGTTCTTTCTCTTCATTATAGATGCTTATAGCAGTTTCAGTTGCTGTCCTTTCTTGTTTCAGGTCTTGTCTCAGCTCCTCCAGTTGATCTTTCTCTTTCTGCCACAGCTGACTGTAAGTTTGAAGCTCTTTAAATTGTGTCTCAAGTTGATTTTGTCTTTGTTGTAGTTCTTGTTTCAGTTTACCTTTTTGCCGTTCTACTTCCTGTCCCTTAATGTCCAGTTCTTCCCTCATTTTCAGAAGTTCTTTTTCTTCTTCATCAATGGAGCTCTTTGCAGCCTCAATCTCTAAACTTTTATTTTTCACTTCCTCCATCAATGCCTCCACTTGTTCTTTGTCATTTTCTGATTTTCTCCTGTCTTCCTGAAGCTGTTTTTTCTCTTCATTTATGAGGCTCATAGCTGCTTTATTTTCTTCTCTTTGTCGGTCTAGTTCAAACCTTAACTTCTCCATGTGTTCTCTATCTTTTTTCAGCAACTCATTGGAACTTTGCAGCTCTTGAATTTGTATCTCCAATTTGTATATTCGCAAATCGAATCCTTGTTGTTTCAGGTAGTCTTTCTCGCTCTGGAATTCCTGTCTCTTCTCTTCCATCTGTGCATTCAGTTGTTGAAGTTTTAGTTTTTCTTCATGGATTTGCGCCATTGCTTCCGCAGTTTCTTTTCGTTGCCTGGTTACATCCTCCACTAACATTTCCAATTTTTCCTTGTCATTTTGTAATCTTCTGCTATATTCTTGAATCTGCTGTTTGTCTTTCTTGATAATACACATTTGTGCCTCAGTCTCTTGTCTTTTTTGCTCAAGTTCCTCCTTATGCTCCTCGAGTTCTCTCATGGCCTTCAGCAACTTATTGTAACTATGCTTCTCTTGACCTTTAAGTTCTTCCTCACGTTTCAATACTTTGTCTTCTTTCTCTTCTAGTTCTTGTCTCTCTTTGGCTATTTCTGTCCTCATTTCCAGAAGTTGCTTTTTCTCATTGTCAATAATATTCATACTGGCCTGATAATGTTCTTTATCACGGTCCAGTTCTTCTCTTTCAACTTGCAAATGTTGTTTGTCTTCTTTAAGCTGCAGTCTCTCCTGATTGAGCATAATCATAGCTGTATCTGCTTCTTTGCTTTTAATTTCCAGTTGTTTTCTCAGCTCTTCTGCTTGCTCCCTATCCATCATCAACAACTCTACAGATTTATTCACCTCTTGCTGTTGTCTCACTAGTTCATTTTGCTTCATCTTAAATTCATGAATGACATTCTCAAGTTGAAGTCTTTGAGAGTGAATCTTTATAGCCATGTCTTGGATGTTGGTCTTGCTTGCAGAGGCATTCTCCAACAGACTCTCAGTAAGGTTGCTCTGCTCAAGAAGTTCAGTGGTTCTTTTTTGGATCTGATTTAGGTTTTTCATGATGTCTTCTTTAAGTCTTTCATATACATGGAGCTCAGCTTTAGTCCTTGCTTCATCTAATTCATCTGTCTTCTCTTTTTCCTCAAACCTCCTCTGTGGTTTCTCCTCTTCTTTCAGAATTTCAGAGCCACTTATCTCATCTTGCTTTTTCAGTTTATCTGCACTGATCATATTTACCAGTAGAAACTTAATTTTGTCCCTCTGTGTGTTGAGCAGATCACTAAATCCAGACACAATGTTTTGATTCTTGTTAAAATTTGCAATAATTTTCTCCAATGTTTCTCTATCTTGATTTAATTTCTTTTCTTTAATTTGTAGATCATCATACAGTCTTTCTTTCAGCTGTTGGAGTTTTGCTCTACTTTCCTTTAGTTCTTCTCTTGTTCTAATTTTATCTGTGTCCTCAAGTCTCCACTCTGAACTTGGCTCCTGGGATTCTGGAGTCATGGCAGCCACATCCTTTTGCATTTCTTCTCTATGGGGTGATAAACTTTCTTCTGGTGTCTCCTTCTCAGCTTCATCCTTTTGCTCTATTTGTTTCAGATCCAAACCCGTCCGCAGTGCTGCTATTTTAACTTTTGTTGTTTGAAGTTTCTCCTTCATTTTATTTACTTTGTCTTTTTCGGTGTTTAGGTCCAGTAACAACGTGAGCATTGTTTTGTTTTTCATGTCTAGCTCTTTTGTAATGTTTTGCATCTTATCATTTTCTTGCTTTAAAGTAAGTATCTGCTGTTGCAATAAGACCAGAATTATCTCAAGTCGCTCATTAGTTTGATTCTGTTTCATATCTTTTTGATTGTCAAGATATTCACTTTCAGAAACCTCCTCCCGTTTTCTGGAAACAGGAGGAAGTTTTGTTTCAACTTCCTGAACTTCAGTTTTAAATAATTGTTCATAGCTTAAAAATCTTTCTTTAATTCTGCAAATTTCTGCCATTTTCTGTTCCAAATCTGAGCACAGTGTTGACACTTGTTGGTTCCTCTCTTGCAACACATTAATTTGATGTTTGATATTCTCAGACAACTTTTCATTGAGCAATTTAATTTTTTTGTAAATAATTTCCACATTTTGCATTTTAGCTTTAAGTTGTTCTTTACTGTAATTGATTTCTAATGTTTTTCTTTCCATTATATCTCTCACTGTCTGTATTTTAATCCTAATTTGATCTATATTTTTCCTCTCTGTTACAATATTGGACCTCTCAGTTTGAATGTCTTCCAAAACTGAGTCGATATCATCTTTATAGTTTCTGAGTTCCTTTATAGTCAATTCCACCTCAGATTTGATGACTTCCGTGATCTTCAGAAAATTCTCCGTTGCTGTTTTATCCACTGTCACCTTCCTTTCATCCACCAACTCGACGAGCCTTTGGTCTACACGCACCGCACGTTTCATCTGATCTTTTGGTAGATTTTTTATTTCAGAGACTTCTTTCATGCCTTCCTTCAACATTTCAGCAAAAGTAGACATCTTGTTTTGAACTTGATCCAGATCTGCACGTCTTTGCTCCAATAAACTGGACAATGCAATAACATGACTTGAATTTTCTTCTGATTCTGTTATTTTGTCATGAATCTTATTGTTTGTCTTGTCAATTAACTCTTTCATCTTGGTTTTCATTGACTCAATAAATCTACGTTGTTTCCGTATAGTTTCCTCTTTTGTAAGAAGTGCTGACATCCTTTGTTCTATCTCATTCTTCTCACTTAAAAGCATTGCTTTCTGAATGTCAAATATCTTTTTCATTTCATCCATGTATTCTCTGTCAAGTCGAATGATGTCAGTAACACTTTTAATGTCCTTTTCTTTAATGTCAACACTTTGAGATTCTTCTGATGAAATTTTACTCTGCAGATTCGCCATTTGTCCTGTACATTTTTTCTTGAGCTCATCTTGTTTAGCCTGAACTTCAAAAGCTAAATCTTGTACGGTAGTTTTCTCTTTGCTAATGTTGTCAAAAAGCTTGGCGAGTTTTTGAATTTGAATTCTTAGCTCTTTCTGGAGTTCATCTAAGTTTTGTATCCCATCTTGTACTAAATATCTACTAGCTTCCAAAATCTGAATTTGTTTTGGAATTTCTTCAGACATCATCATTTTCTTATCCATTTTGTCTCCCATTGCATCTGGAAATTCATCCAATCCATCTTTTTGCTTTGGTCTTTCCACGTCAGTTTGAGTAAATACTTCTGACATGATTTGTGTATCTCCTGTTTGGGTTGACTGTTCCATGTATTGTGGTATTTCTTTCACCTCCATCACATCTACCATCACAGAAACATTTTCTGTTTGCACCTCTGCTTCAACATATGTTTGTAATGTCAGTTTCTTATGTTTTTCTTCTAAGATGCTTTGGAGTGACACACGTTTCAATTCTTCTTTTATTTTAAGCAACAGTTCATTACATTCTGCTGTTTTGTGTTTATTTTCTTCTAGCTCAACCAACTTTTTCTCCAAATCATTGCACAGTCTTTGAATGCGATCTTTGCGTGTCTGAAATTCACGCAGTTTGTTTTTCAGGAGCTCATTCATCTTTTGATTCTGCTGTTGGACCATTGCCCTCCCCCTTTCCATGTTACTCATTATGTTCCTGAACTCATACTCTTTCGCTGTCAGCTCAGAAATCTGTTTTGCCATTCTTTCTCTGTCATAAAGATTTTCCGCATCGCCTTCAGTCTGGATAATTTCGCTTACAACACTGGTACCAACTCCCTCCTCTCCAGTCTCTTGCTGCGTTTGGGCGTATACGCGCATTTTCTCATACAGATCCTCAAACTTTACGCTCAGATTTTCAATGGATGTAATCTTGTCCATAAGTGTCTGCTCTCTTGCTTCCAGTTCTGTTAGGTCTTTTTTCAATCTCTCCTTATCCTCCTCCAATTGGACTCTCTCCATTTTGACCTTAGTCTTCATTTGAATTACCTCTTCTCTGTCTGCCTTAATTACATCTCTTGCGATTTCATTTTCTTGTCTCAACGCATTGACTTCGTGTTTCTCTACTGACAAAGTGTTCCGAATTTGGTCCATTTCAAGTGATTTCTGTTTCATCTCTTCATCTTTAGCTTCTTGTTCTTTTTGTTTCAGTATTATCTTTTTAATCAGTGTGTCTCGTACTTGGGAAATTTGGAGAACTATGTCTTTAATGTTGAACTTTTCTGTGTTGACGTCATGCAAAAGAGAATGCATGTGGTGTTTGCTGTTTTCTAGCTCTGACGTAATGTTCTCAAGTTTATATTTTGTTTCTTTCATTGCATGTTGAGTCGTTTTTAAGAAAGCTGCCTGTTTAAGAATTTCACATTTCAGCAAGTTAACTTCATTTTCACTTTGCATATCCACATTTTGTCCTTTAAGCTGTTCTTTTGAGATTTCCGATTTGGCAACTGTACTCTTAAATTGTTGAATCTTTGTCTTAATTGTAAGTTCAAAGTTGTTAATGGTGATTTTGTTTTGATTTATTTCAAGCAGTAATTGATCAACACGTTCTTTCTTAATCTGTAATTCAGCCTTAGTTTTTTCTAGCCTCTCTTTTTCAAATCCAAAGACGGCTCAAACCATTCTCAACTTTAGACAACAATAATAATTCCGAGTGCATTTCCTGTTCTTTGATCTTCTCATTTAGTGCATCAATATCCTTTTGTTTTTCTGTAGACAATGCTTCCATCAAAGACTTTTGCATTCTACCATGTGTTGCAATGCTTGTTTTTACATTTGTTAGATCATTTTTTACTTTCTCCATAGAGTTCTTCTCCTCACTGATCAGATTATGTTGTAACTCTGTAAATTGGATGCTGTTTTGAGTCATGATTTCTGCATCTTCACGTGTCCTTTTTACTAACTCTTTCAGCCTTGTGGTTACATTTTCCATCATTCTTACTGTATTGAATACTTGAGTTTCCTTGATTTGTACCATGGACCAGCTTTCTTCCAGTTTGTGCTTTTCTTCCAGAAGCTGTTTTTTCTCCATATCAGCATCCTTCTTATTTTGACTGAGCAATTCCCTCTCCTCTTCGATGTTGTTCAGAGCATTTTCAGCTTTGTCTCTCTTTTCCGTGAGATCTCGCTTCAAGATTTCAAGTTGTTCTTTTTCAGTCATTAGTTTACTTTCAGAGATTTGTAGCTCCTGGGTTTGTTTAGTCAGTTCTTCCTCTTTAAGATCTTGTTCCTTTTGTTTTAAAGCAAGTTTGTTAGTTGCATCCTGAAGTTTGACTCTTGTGTTGTTAAACAGAACAGCCAACTCAGCTCCTTGACTTCTAACCGCCTCCAATAGAGTCTCTCTGTGCTCTTTCTGATTCAGGAATTTCAGGTTTGTCTGTTGGAGAATGTCTTTTTCCTTCTTGATTTCAACGGTATATTTCTCTAACGTCTCCATGACATCGCTCTTCATCTTTTGTAGCTCCTCTTTCTCTCTGTCCATCTCGTCTCTCTCTTGTTCAAGCTCTTGTCTCTGCTGCTTCACTTCTGAACTCAGTGTCTCCACCTGTTGTCTCTCCAATAGAAGTTTTTGCTTTTGCCCATTGAAGAGAATCAGTGTGTCTTTAAGATTGCTCTTTTGTCTCTCCAACATTTGATTGTAGTCAACCATTTTGTCTCTGTCCTGATCCAGAGCTGTGAACTGCAGCTTCAGTTTGTCCATGTTCTTTATGTGTAGTTGTAGTGTGGTCCTATTGTGCTGGAGGAGTCCTCTCAGATGGCTCAGATGCCCTGTCACACTGCGAAGCTGCTCTTGTCTAATCTCCAGCTCTTTGTCCATCTGTTTCTGTTGCCTCTGCAGATTTTGCCTGTCCAACTCTAACTTGTCATTCTTCAGACTGAGTTCATTCCTCTGCTCTTGAATCTCCTCTCTAGCAGCTTCCAGATCTTTACGGACCACTTCAGTTTGTTCTCTTACCCTTTGGAGTTCCTCTTCTTTTAGTTCCAGAGTCTGTCTCTTAATTTCCAGCTCTATTGTCAGTTTGTTCAGTTGCTCTTTCTCCTCTTTGATAATCTTAATAGTGGCTTCACTTTCCTTTCGTTTTCTGTTCACTTCTTTCATCAGCATTTTCAGCTGTTGCCTTTCAGTTTGCGATTTCCTTCTGTTGTCTTCAAGCTGGTTTTTCTCTTCATTGATGAGTCTTAAGGTGGCGTCAGCTTCTTCTCTTTTTCTGTCCAAATCATTCATGAGACCACGCAACTGTTCCTTTTCTCTTCTCAGTAATTCTTTCTCGCTGTCCAATTTGTCCTGTTCTGAGTTAATTTCTTGTTTCTTCTGGTGTATTTCTGCCTTTGTTTTATCTAACTCACATTTCTCCTCTATAACGAGTTTCTTTGCCGCCTCAACTTCATCTCTGCTCCTTTCCACTTCCACCTTCAGAAAATCCAGTTGCTCTCTTTCAGTTTGTAATGTCCTCCTATTTTCTTGCAGTTGCATATTTTGTTCATTAATCAAATGCATTGCCGTCTCAGATTCTTCTCTCTTTCTTTCCAGTTCCTTCTTCAGTTCTTCCATTTCGTGTTGCTCCTGTTTCAGTGTTTCAGTGGAGGTGTTCAGTTCTTTGCACTGACTGTCTAGGTCAGCTTTCCTTAGCTCTAAGTCTTGTTGTTTATGGACAAAATCATCAAAAACTTTCTTTAGATTTTGTTTTTGGACATCAATCTGTGCAGCCATGTGCTTTATGTTACTCTTTTCAGTGTTGACCTCCTTCAGTAGATGGGCAGTTTGTTCTTTTTGCATACATAGTTCAGTATTTGTCTTTTGGAACTGGTCTTTCTGCTTCATTATGTTGGCTTTATGTTGTTCAAATAAATCAACATACATTTCGACTTCTTTTTTCTTCCGATGTATGTCAAGTTTCTCTTTCTCTACATCTGCCTTTTCCTCAGCTATCTTTTTGAGCATGGTTGGTATGATTCCACAGAGCGATTCCTTTTCCTGGTGAAATCTGCTGATGTATAAATGAATTTGATCTTTATTTTTCCCAATTTCCTCAGAACATTTCTCCAACAACACAACCTGCTTGAGCACAAGTTTGTCATTCACATCCGCTTGAGATATCTTACTTCCCATCTTTGCAATCAACAGTTTTAGTCTTTTGCCCATATTTGCTACGAGCTTTGTTTTACCCATGAGATCATTTTCTTTAGACTGAACTTCACGAAGTTGTTCTTGAACTTTTTCTTTGTCATTTAAAAGCAGCTGTCTTTGCATGTCAAGTTCAGCCTTGATTTTAGTTACTTGCCTTTTCTCTTCACTAATGCTCTCCCATGATGCTGCTACCTCCTGCTTGCTCTTGGTAACTTCTTCCTTAACCTTCTCCAGTTGTTGTCTATTTGCTTGTAATACACTCTGTTGACTTTGCAGCTCTTCAGATAGCTTCCTTACATTGCCTTCTTGTTGGTTTAGCTCTTTGCTTTTCAGCGCAAACAGTTTTAAACACATTTGAATATCATTTTGTGCCTTGTGTGTTTGTAGAGCTAAGTGTGTCATGTTGGCTTTCTCTGTCTTTATAACGTTCAGTCCTTTATGAATATCTTCTTTCATATGTTGTAGTTTGGATGTGGTCTCATGTAACTGACTAAAACCCATACGCAACGTTTTCTTATCATTCATCAGCTGATCATGTTGCTTGCGGATCCCGAATCTTGACAATTCCAAGTGATTTCTCTCCTTTTTGAGCGCCATCACTTGCTTTTCAAACTCATCTTTCTCTTCTTTTAATTTTGACTGACGTTGTTCAATATTTTTAGTTTCAGACTCAATCCGCTGCTTCCATTTCTGTTCAGTATCTCTTCTTTGATCAAATAGGCTTGGCACTGTTTTGGATACACATTCCCTTTCTTTCTTTAAAAGCTCCAAAAGACTAGCAAGTGTTTCTTTCTGTTGTCCAAGATCATTTTGCTTTTGTTCAAAATTGTTGCGTAATTCACGTAACGTCTGGCTGCTGTACTCTATATTGTCAATTTTAAGCTTGATGTCTTGCCGTAACTTTGCATTCATCTGGTTGAGTTCACTGGACATTTTTAGAATTTGGTCATTTTTGCATTTCAGAGCTGATGACTCTTGTGTAATTTTTTCTTTTTCATTTCGTAGTAGCTCTCTTTCTGACCCAATCTGAGTCCATTCCTGATCAATTTCCTCTTTCTTTTTAGCAATTTGACTCAGTGCCCCCTTAATATTTGTGATCATAGTTTTTAGGTTGTTCTGTAAACCTTGTACTTCTTCATGAACCTCCTGTAGTTTCTCTTTCTCGCGTTGAATTTCAAGTAGTTGTGTTGGTACATTGTTATCTGATACTTCTTTCACTCTTTTGGTGAAGTTACTTACAAATCTTTCAAATTTATCTTTTTGTGCTTCCAGTTGTTTCAGATTATGGTTAATTTGATCATTTTTTCTATTTAGTTCATCCACAACTTCAACAATACGTCCGTCTTTGTCCAGTATAGCAATTCTGGTCTTTTCTAACTCTAATTTCATTTCTTCAGTTTGGCCTTTTCTGGTGTTAAACTCCTTCATCTGCTCTTCGATGTATGTCTTCATTTCTTCCAAACTTTGTCTTTCTCTCACCATCATACCACTCACTTTTTCCAGATCAGACATTTTACTTAACATCTGTGCTTTAAATCTCTCAAAATGCTGTCTTTCCATTGATGATTTTTCCTGCAGTTTGTTTCTCATTGCTTCTTGTTGCATTGCAAGATTGGAAACGGTGAACTTCAGTGGACCAATTTCCGTTTTAAATACATGACTCAACAACCGGTCCCTTTCTTGGATGAACCTCTTCCTGTTTTTCAGTCAGTTCATTGCAAATAGTTTGGATTTCTTGAGTCTGATGTTCAAGTTTCTTATTAATTTCGTTGATATCTTTAATTTTTCTCTCAATAAGAAACTTGACTTTGTCCGAAACCACTTTGAACCTGCTCACCACCAGTTCTTCTCTGGCTTTCAGTTCAATAATGTCCTTTCGCATCCTTTGTTTTTCATCATCTAGCCTCAGTCTTTCCAAGTCCATAGTGACCCTCATTTGTTTAAGTTCTTGTTTCTCTGTTCTGATTGCATCTGTTTGAACTTGAGTCTCTTGTCTCCATGTGTGCAATTGCATTTTTTCATCTGATAAATTCTTGACTAGACTTTCAATTTTACCTTTTGTTGTTCGAAGATCCATTTTCATTTTGTGAATCTGATCTTTTTCTTTGTTTAGTTCTTTCAGAATATGATGTGCATTTTGTTTGTTAATTTCTAGGTCTTTTGAATGAATTACAAGATTATTCTTTTCAGTTTGCCTTAAGAATACTGAACTTTGAACCCAGCGCACGATACTGTAGACATCTTTCCTCATCTGTTCAAGCTGCACTTTCTCTTGGTTCAACATCTCTCTTTCTTTTTCCATGTTCAGTTTTTCCTCAAGCAATTTTGCCTTTTGCTTTTCAATATTGTATTCTTCCGTTTTGTTTTGTTGACTGTCTGTGTATTTTATTTGTTCTTTTAGGTCTGATAGTGATTCTTTTTCTGTTATGACCAGTTTGGTGAAGTTGTACATGTTTTGTTTATAGTCATCAACATCTTTCAATTTTTGTTCCAACTCTGAACACAGCTTCAGGCACATTCTGATTATTATTTTGTAAAGTGTTCATTTGATGGTTGACCTTGTCCCAAGCTTTTTCTGTGAACGTTTGCAATTTCTCCTTTACGATGTTATTTGATTTTAAAAACTCTTCTTTCTTGGATTGAATTTCAGACATTTCTGTTTGAATATTTTGTTTTTCTTCCATAAGTCTTTGTTTCTCCAGGTTTATTTTTGTCTTAATTTCATTTAACTGTTGTCTCTCTGCTTTGATTGCTTCCATGGCTGCCTCTTTCTCTTCTTTTATCTGAGTTAGCTCCATTTTCAACTGTTCTGCTTGATTTGGTGAACTCTCATCTTGTAGCTTTTGTTCTTTGAGCTTGAAAACCAAAGTACTTATGGTATGTTTAAGTTGATCTCTTTGCATGTAAATGTCGGACATCTTGTTTCTCTTCTTCTTTATCTCAGCAAGGATACTGTCCAAATTTGCAAATTGTGATTGACACTCGATTTTGAAGGAAAATAATGTCTCAACAGATTTTTGAATCTTCTCTTCAGTTTGTTGAACCCTCTTCACAACTGCGTGGACATCAGCCGTCATCTTTTGTATCTCGTCTTTCTCTTTGTCTATCTTGTCCTTCTCTTGATCCAGCTCCTGTTTCTGCTGCTTCACTTCTGAGCTCAGTGTCTCTGCCTGCTGTTTCTCTAGTAGAAGTTTTTGCTTTTGTCCAGTGAAGAGAGTCATTGTGTCTTTAAGATTGTTTTTGTGCCTCTGAAACAACTGAATGCAGTTGGCCATCTTGTCTCTATCCTGGTCCAGAGCTGTGAGCTTCTGCCTCAGTTTGCCTATGTCTTGTGTATGTAGTTGTAACATGCTCCTGTTGTGTTGGAGGAGTTCTCTTAGATGGCTCAGATGCCCTGTCACGGTGCAGAGCTGGTCTTGTCTTATCTTCAGGTCTGTGTCCATCTGCTCCTGTTGTTTCTGTAGCTTTAGCCTGTCCAATTCCAAAGTTTCATTCTTTAAACTGAGCTGCTGTCTCTGCTCTCTGATCTCCTCCCAAGCAAACTCCAGATCTGAACTTTTCTGAACCACTTCCACTTGTTCTGTGCCTTTTTGTTGCTGAACTTGTCTCATTTTGAAAACTTCTTCCCTTATTTGCTGAAGCTGCTCTTTGTATTCAGTGATTTGTCTCTTGGCTGCCTCTGCTTCTTGTTGTTTTCTCTCTAAATCTTTCAATGCATCTTTTGTTTTGTAAAGGAGTTCTTTTTCATCTTTAACAAGTCTCATGGCGTTTTCCACCTCCAATGTTTTATTCTCCATCTGTGCCTTTAATACTTTGGTTGCTTCTCTTACAGCTTGTAATTGTCTTCTGGTTTCTTCAAGCTGTAGTTTTTCTTCATTGATAAGTCTCATAGCTGAGTTGGTGTCTTGTTCTCTTCTGTCCATATCCTTCTTCAGTTCTTCCAGCCGCCCCACTTCCTTCATCATATTTAATTTTGTCTCAACCTCTTGTTTGTTAAGCTCTTCCTCCTTATGTTTTAGCATGTCTTGCTGGTACTGTATTTCCTGTCTTTGTAATTCCAACTCCTCTTTTGTTTTGTAAAGATGTTCTTTCTCCTCTTCAACAAGTTTCATGGCAGTTTCAGCTTCCACTTTTGTATCGTCCATCTGTGCCTTCAATGCTTTTGTTGTTTCTCTTTCAACTTGTAATTGTCTTCTGTGTTCTGCAAGCTGCCGTTTTTCTTTGTTGATAAGTCTCATAGCTGAGTTGGTTTCTCGTTCTTTTCTATCCATATCCTTCTTTAACTCTTCCAGTCGTCTCATTTCCTTCATCATATTTATTTGTATCTCAACTTCTTGCTGTTTAAGCTCTTCCTCCTTACATTTTAGCTTGTCTTGCTGGTACTGTAATTCCTGTCCTTGTAATTCCAACTCATCTTTTGTTTTGTAAAGCTGTGCTTTCTCTTCTTCAATAAGTTTCATGGTGTCTTCAGCTTCCAGTTTTTTATCCTCCATCTGTGCCTTCAATGCTTTTGTTGTTTCTCTTTCAACTTGTAACTGTCTTCTGTTTTCTTCAAGCTGTTGTTTTTCTTTGTTGATGAGTCTCATAGCTGAATTGGTTTCTTGTTCTCTTCTGTCCACATCCTTCTTCAGTTCTTCCAGTCGCCCCACTTCCTTCATCTTATTTATTTGTGCCTCCACCTCTTGTTGGTTAAGCTCTTCCTCCTTGCGTTTTAGCTTGTCTTGTTGATGCTTTAATTCCTGTCTTTGTAATTCCAACTCATCTTTTGTTTTGTAAAGTTTCTCTTTATCCTGTTCAACAAGTTTCATTGCATTTTCAATTTCCAATTTTTTATCCTCCGTCTGTGCCACCAATACTTTGACTGTTTCTCTTTCAACTTGTAATTGTCTTCTGTTTTCTTCAAGCTGTCGTTTTTCTTCATCGATAAGTCTCATCGCTTCATTGGTTTCTTGTTCTCTTCTGTCTATATTTTTCTTCAGTTCTTCCAATCGTCCCACTTCCTTCTTCTTAAATATTTGTGCCTCGACCTCTTGTTGTTTAAGCTCCTCCTCCTTACGTTTTAGCTTGTCTTTTTGATGCTGTATTTCATGTCTTTGTAATTCCAACTCATCTTTTGTTTTGTAAAGGCTTTCTTTCTCCTCTTCAACTAGTTTTGAGGCAGTTTCAACTTCCACTTTTTTATCCTCCAGTTGTTCTTTTAATACCGTAGTTGTTTCTCTGTCATCTTGTAACTGTCTTCTGTTTTCTTCTAGCTGTAGTTTTTCTTTTTTGATAAGTCTCAAAGCTGAATTGATTTCTCGTCGTCTTCTGTCCATATCCTTTCTCAGTTCATCCAATCGTCTAGCTTCCTTCATCTTAGTTATTTGTGTCTCCACCTCTTGCTCTTTAATATCTTCCTCTTTATGTTTTAGCTTGTCTTGCTGGTACTGTATTTCCTGCCTTTGTAATTCCAACTCATCTTTTGTTTTGTAAAGCTGCTCTTTCTCTTCTTCAATAAGTTTCATGGCATTTTGAACCTCAATTTTTTTATCCTCCACCTGTGCCATCAATACTTTGACTGTTTCTTTTTCAGCTTGTAATTGTCTTCTGTTTTCTTCAAGTCGTTGTTTTTCTTGATTGGTAAGTCTCATTGCTACATTGGTTTCTCGTTGTCTTCTGTCCATATTCTTCTTCAGTTCGTCAAATCGTCCCACTTCCTTCATCATATTTATTTGTGCCTCCACCTCTTGTTGTTTAAGCTCTTCCTCCTTACATCTTAGCTTGTCTTGTTGATGCTTTAATTCCTGTCCTTGTAATTCCAACTCATCTTTTGTTTTGTAAAGGCGTTCTTTCTCCTCTTCAACAAGTTTCATGGCAGTTTCAGCTTCCACTTTTTTATCCTCCACCTCTGTCTTCAGTACTTTGGTTGCTTCTCTTTCAACTTGTAATTGTCTTCTGTTTTCTTCAAGCTGTCGTTTTTCTTCAGCGACAAGTCTCATTGCTGAGATGGTTTCTTGTTCTCTTCTGTCCATATCCTTCTTCATTTCTTCCAATCGTCCCACTTCCTTCATCGTATTTATTTGTGTCTCCACTTCTTGTTGTTTAAGCTCTTCCTCCTTACATCTTAGCTTGTCTTGTTGATGCTGTAATTCTTGTCTTTGCAATTCTAACTCATCTTTTGTTTTGTAAAGTTGCTTTTTCTCCTCTTCAACAAGTTCCATGGTGTTTTCAACTTCCACTTTTTTATCCTCAATCTGTGCCTTCGATACACTGACTGTTTCTTTTTCAGCTTGTAATTGTCTTCTGTTTTCTTCAAGCTGTCGTTTTTCTTCATTGATACGTTTCATTTCTGCATTGGCTTCTCGTTCTTTTCTGTCCACATCCTTCTTCAGTTCTTCCAGTCGTCCCACTTCCTTCATCATATTTATTTGTGTCTCCACCTCGTGTTGTTTAAGCTCTTCCTCTTTACGTTTTAGCTTGTCTTGCTGGTACTGTATATCCCGTCTTTGTAATTCCAACTCATCTTTTGTTTTATAAAGCTGTTCTTTCTCTTGTTCAACAAGTTTCAAGGCAGTTTCAACTTCCACTTTTTTATCCTCCACCTCTGCCTTCAGTAGTTCGGTTGTTTCTCTTTCATCTTGTAATTGTCTTCTGTTTTCTTCTAGGTGTATTTTTTCTTCGTTGATAAGTCTCATTGTGTCATTGGTTTCTTGTTCTCTTCTGTCCATATCCTTCTTCAGTTCTTCTAGTCGTCCCACTTCCTTCTTATTATTTATTTGAGTCTCCTCTTCTTGTTGTTTAAGATCTTCCTCCTCACGTTTTAGCTTGTCTTGTTGATGCTGTATTTCCTGTCTTTGTAATTCCAACTCATCTTTAGTTTTGTTAAGGCTTTCTTTCTCCTCTTCAATCAGTTTCATGACATTTTGAATTTCCACTTTTTTATCCTCCATATATGAAATCAGTACTTTGACTGTTTCTCTTTCAGCTTGTAAATGTCTTCTGGTTTCTTCAAGCTGTTGTTTTTCTTCATCGATACGTCTCATCGCGTCATTGGTTTCTTGTTCTTTTCTGTCCATATCCTTCTTCAGTTCTTCCAAACGTCCCACTTCCTTCATTGTTTTCATTTGTGTCTCCACCTCTTGTTGGTTTAGCTCTTCCTCCTTATGTCTCAGCTTCTCTTGTTGATGCTGTATTTCCTGTCTTTGTAATTCCAACTCATCTTTTGTTTTGTAAAGGTGTTCTTTCTCCTCTTCAACAAGTTTCAGGGCGTTTTCAACCTCCAACTTTTCAAGTCTTATTGTTTCATTGGCTGCTCGTTCTCTTCTGTCCATATCTTTTTTCAGTTCTTCTAATTGTACCACTTCCTTCAGTGTATTCATTTGAATCTCTACTGCTTGTTTTTTAAGCTCCTCCTCCTTCTGTTTTAACATGTCTTGTTGATGCTTTAATTCCTCTCTCTGTAATTCCAGCTCATCTTTTGTTTTCTCAACCTGCTTTTTCCCCTCTTCAATAAGTTTCATGGCAATTTCAACTTCCATTTTCTTATAGTCCATCTCTGCTATCAGTATTTTCACTGTTTCTGCTTCAACTTGTAATTGTCTTCTGTTTTCTTCAAGCTGTTGTTTTTCTTCATTGATAAGTCTCATAGCTGAGATGGTTTCTTGTTCTCTTCTGTCCATATCCTTCTTCAGTTCTTCCAGCCGCCCCACTTCCTTCATCATATTTATTTGTGTCTCCATCTCTTGTTGTTTAAGTTCATCCTCCTTATGTTTTAGCTTGTCTTGTTGCTGCTGTATTTCCTGTCTTTGTAATTCAAACTCTTCTTTTGCTTTGTAAAGCTGCTCTTTCTCCTCTTCAGCACGTTTTGTGGCAGCTTCAGTTTCTGTTTTTTTATCTTCCAGCTGTGCCATCAATACATTCAGTGTTTCTCTTTCTACTTGTAACAGTCTTCTGTTTTCTTCTAGCTGTAGTTTTTCTTCATTGATACGTTTCATCACTTCATTGGTTTCTTGTTCTCCTCTGTCCATATCCTTCTTCAGTTCTTCCAGTTGCCTCACTTCCAACATCTTATTCATTTGTGCCTCCGTCTCGCCCTGCCTCAACTCTTGTTCTTCTTGGGGTCTCAGTTTGCTTGGTTCATGCTGCTTATCCTCTTCTTGCATTTCCATTTCTGTCTCCATTTTGTGAAACTGTAGTTTTTCTTCACCGAAACTCTCAGTCTCTTCTCTTTTCCTTTTAAATTCCTTTATTTGATCTTCCAGTTGTTGTTTTTCAGTTTGTAAAGTCTGTCTGGTTTCTTGGAGCTGCTGATTGTCTGCATCGATTTCTTGTCTTTTTCGTAGTAGGTCATTTCTCAGCATCATCACTTCTTCTTGATCAGCCTTCAACAACTCTTTAGAGACATTCAATTCTTTTTGCTGTGTCTCTATTTCACTTTGTTTCCTTTGTAATTCTTGGACGACCTTCTCAAGCTGTAGTTTTTGAGATTCAATGTGACTGGCCATTTCTTGGAGTTTGGTCTTCTCTGTATCTACCTCCTTTAGGTAATTGTCAATATGTTCCTTCTGCTTTAAGAGCTCATCTTTTGTCTTTTTGATCAAACCTTTGTCCCTCATCATGTCTTCACCAAGTTGTTTTAACATGAGCATCTCTGTCCTTGCTTCAAACTTTTCCAGATTTGCTTTTTCTTTGATTTCTTCTGGCTGTCTAATTTGTGTTTCCACACTTTGCTTTTCAGGAATTATCTTCTCTTCTTTTGACCGACTCAACAGTTCAAACCTTGTACTCTGTATTGAGCTAATGCACCTCTTTATGTCTTCACTCTGGTCTTTATTTCTTTGTAAGTCTGTAAGCAATTTGCTGAATAAATCCTGCACACTCCTTTCCATTTTGTCTATATTTTGTAGTTTGCGTTCAAAGTTAATTTGTTTGAGTCTGTCTCTGAACTTTTCCATAAACTTCATATTTTCCATCAGTTGATCCTCTCTGAGTTTGGAGGTCTTGTTTTTCCAAGTTCAATTTGTCTTTTTCATTCTTCAGATCTTCGTGTTCCTTGTTTAAGCAAATCTTAACTTCTTCTAGTTTCCGTCTCTCTTCATGAACACTTCTCATGGCAGCTTCTGTTTCTTCTCTCTTTTCATTGAGATCCTGTCTCAAAAGTTCAAATTCTTTCTTCTCCCCATCCACTTCATCTTTTGATTTTTGTATTTCCTGTAGATTTCCACTTTGAATAATTTCTATGGAATCATTTAAACTTTTCTGAACAGTTTGAACGTCACTTGCCAAATCTTTAATCACACTTTGCTCTGTCGTTATTTCATTAAACAGGAGGTTCACTTGTTCTTTCTTGTTTTGTAACTCCGCCTTGTCTGCTTCCAGCTTTTTGGAATACTTTGTGATGTCTTCATTGTGCTTTTTCAGTGTAGCCTCTATGAGTTTTAGGTCTTGTTTTTCTGAGTTAAATTTGTCTTTTTCATTCTTCAAATCTTCTTGTTCTTTGTTTAACCAAATTTTAAATTCTTCTAGTTTCTGTCTCTCTTCATCAACACTTCTCATGGCAGCTTCAGTCTCTTCTGTCCTTTCACTGAGATTCTGTTTTAAAAGTTCAAATTCTTTCTTCTCCTCATCCAATTTCTCCTTTAAGTTTTGTATTTCCTGTAGATTTTCACTTGTGGAATCATTTAAACTTTTCTTAACTGTTTGAACATCTCTGGCCAAATCTTTAATCTTGCTTTGTTCTGTCGTTATTTCATTAAACAAAAGGTTCACTTGTTCTTTCTTGTTTTGTAGCTCCACCTTGTCTGCTTCCAGCTTTTCGGAATACTTTGTGATGTCTTCATTGTGTTTTGTCAGCATAGCCTCTTTGAGTTGTAGATTTTGTTTTTCTGAGTTCAATTTGTCTTTTTCATTCTTCAGATCTTCTTGTTCCTTGTTTAAGTGAATCTTCATTTCTTCAAGTTTCTGTCTCTCTTCATGAACACTTTTCATGGCAGCTTCAGTCTCTTGTCTCTTTCGATCGTGATCTTGCCTTAAAAGTTCAAAATCTTTCTTCTCCTCATCCAATTTCTCCTTTAAATTTTGTATTTCCTGCAGATTTCCAGTTTGAATCAGTTCTACGGCATCATTTAAACCTTTCTTCACATTTTGAACGTCACTTGCCAAATCTTTAATTATGTTTTGCTCTGTTGTTACCTCATTAAACAAAAGGTTCACTCGTTCTTTCTTGTTTTGTAACTCTACCTTGTCTGCTTCCAGCTTTTTGGAATACCTTGTGATGTCTTCATTGTGCTTTTTCAGTGTTACCTCTATGAGTTTTAGGTCTTGTTTTTCTGAGTTAAATTTGTCTTTTTCATTCTTCAGCTCTTCGCATTCCTTGTTTAACCAAATTTTCATTTCGTCTAGTTTTTGTCTCTCTTCATGAACACTTTTCATGGCAGCTTCAGTCTCTTGTCTCTTTCGATCGTGATCTTGCCTTAAAAGTTCAAATTCTTTCTTCTCCTCATCCAATTTCTCCTTTAAGTTTTGTATTTCCTGTAGATTTCCAGTTTGAATCAGTTCTACGGAATCATTTAAACCTTTCTTCACATTTTGAACATCACTTGCCAAATCTTTAATCTTGCTTTGCTCTGTTGTTACCTCATTGAACAGAAGGTTCAGTCGTTCTCTCTTGTCTTGTATTTCTGCTCTATATGCCTCCAACTTCTTACAGTGCTTTATCATATCTTCATTGTGCTTTTTCAGTGTAGCATATTGTTGGTTGATATCAGATACCATTTGTTCCTGTTTTGGAATGACAGTTTGTGGTTCAGTAGAGACAACCGTGGCTTTCAACCCCTTTTTTCCTTGTATATGTTTTAGTATGTCGGATATTTTACCGCTTAAACTTGTCTTCTCGGTTTTCAACACTTCACTGAATGCTACTATGTTTTGTTTTTCTTGACCAAGTTCTACACATTTATTTTCTAGAGCTTTGCATGCTTGTATTTGTTCCATTCTGTTCTCCAGTTTAAGACATTTTTCACTCACAGTTTGAAATGTGTCTTGTTTTTGATATGTCTGGCTTTTTCGTCCATCTTTCTCCATTCTTTGCTCTTCTTCTGTTGTTCTAGCTGCCTCTTCCTCTGTTTGTGTCGCCTTATCTTGACATGTATCTTGAGCTGTCTTTTGTACGTTACTCAAAATATTCTGAAAACGCCCCTTTTCTCTCTGCACTAGATTGGCCAGTGTTTGAACTGAACTTTTCTCTTTAGTAGTTTCAGCGATCAAACTGCTAATATTTTCTTTATTTTCTTTAAGCTTGTTTGCAGTCTGTCTCAGTTCATCTTGTTCTTTTCTTATAGATTTCTGAATATGTTCCAATGTCTTTATTTGCTCAGAATTCATCAAAATATTTTCAGCTTTCACGAATTCTCTGTCCAAAGTTTCATGAATCATCTTTTCGGACTCTTTCTTTTGTCTCTCAATCATGTCTGAAATGACACTTTGCAGACTTTGTACATCTCTTCTGAACACCTCTGCATCTCCAGATACTTTTTCCGATTGTTTATTAAGTTGTGATTGCTTTTGTTCAAATACTATCTGTAATTCCTCAATTCGACCCATTTTGTTTTGTATTTCCGAAAGCAGTTTATGAGTTAGTTGTTGAACACTTTGCACTGTATTGATTACTGGTCTCATGTCTACCATCCTTTCAGGCATTTCACTGTCTGATATTTCCGTTTTTATGGCAACTAGATCCATTTCAGGTTTCACATTTTCCACTTCTTCTGCTGCATGTCTTGATTCTTTTTCCAAGCTCTCAACTTTTGTTTTTTCCTGTTTTAGTAGCTTCACAAGGTTGAGTTTTCTGTCAATGTCGCCTCTCATCGTCTCCATTTCCATTCTTTCTCTATCCATCTTTTCTTTTTCCAAATCCAGACTTTCTCTCTCCTGTTTTAGTTGAGTTTTCAGTTTTTCAAGATCATTTCTTTCTTTTAAGATGTCAGGTTGAACAGCAGATTCCAGTTGTTCCTTTTGTGCCTTCAGTGCAGAAATTAAGCTTTTAATTGTTTTCGTTTCTCTGCGCAATGTTGCTTTCAAGTTTTTCACTTCTTGCTGTTCATTCAGATTGGTGTAAGTCCGCTCCACTGAAACATTTAAACTTTTTACATTTTCACTTTGTTGATCTAATTTGTTGAGTTTTTCTTCCACATCTCCGCAAATTCGTTCTGCAATTTCTGTTAATTTTATTTTCATGATTTCAAGTTTCTCTTCTTTGATTTTGAACTCAGATAATTTTCTTTCAACTTGTCTATCGTCTCGAAGTAGCTTACTGCCTTTCCGTCCCTTTTGTTTTGTAGCGGTGACAATCTTTTGAAGTGTGTCCTTTTGTGCTTGAACTTCATTGGCCAGAACTTGGAGATTGGCCTTCTCAGTTTTGATCTCTGACAGAGAACTTCTAATATCCTCTTCCATTTGGTGAAGATTTGTCAATGTGCATTCTAATTCAGCTTTTCTGTCTAATATCTCACTCACTGAAGGCAATTCCTCAACCATTTCAGTTACATCCATTTTAGATTTTCCTTCTTTTTGCTTCAAACTCACCAATCGCTGCTTTTCTTTACCAACTTGATCGACACACTTCGCAATTTTGATTTTCTGTTGTTCAAACTTTTCTTGATTCTTTCGCAGTCCATCGCATAACTTGTCAACATCTTCTTGTTTTTGCTCTGTTACTTGTATTTTGAATTTGACGTCCTCATTTTTATTTTTCATGACCTGTTCACATTTTTCTCTCAAGTGAATTCTCAGCATTGGCAGTTGAACAGTTATTCTTTCCTTTTCTTGCACCAACATCTGTCGTTTGTCTTCAACGTCTCTCCTCGTTGTATTAAGCTGTTCATTCTCCTCCCTGGTGTGTTTAATGGCCTTTTCAGCCTCGGCTTTCATCATACTGAGTGCCCTAATGAGATCTTTGAATTGTTCTGTCTCCGAGATTAAAGCCATCTTCATTTCTTCTTGATCCTCCTCTTTGTCTTTCTGTTCCAACGCAGTCAGTTGGAATTTCCCCAATTTTTCTTTTGCTTCGCTAATCTGAAGTGACAGATCTTTAACGCGGGTTTTTTCACAGTTTATCTCATCTAGGAGCTTGTCAATGTGTTGCCTTTTGTTCTCCATCTCTGCCTTTGCGGCAATGAGTAGCTCGATTTCCGCTTTTATATTCTGTTTGCTTTGTTCAATCAGAGCCATCTGTAATTGCGTGTCTAACTTCATTAAATCCAACTCTGATTTCTCTTTTTCAATTGTCTCTCTGAATCTAGCCAGCTCCTCCTGTTCTTGTTGTATTTCAGCTTTGATTTTCATTAGGTTTTCACCATCCTCCACTGGCAAAGCTTTTATTTCCTCTGACAAATTATCTCGCTTTTCAGATTGAATCTCAGCTCTTTCTTGCTCCATCTGGACTGCACCTTTCTCAAGTTTTAACACTCTTTCAGTTCCATCATCAAAACCCAGGGTCCCAATTTCCTCACTTGTTATTTTTGCTTTGTCAACTTCGAACATTGCAGTCTGCTTTTTGAAAATTTCCCTTTCCTTCTCCAACTCTTCAAAATTTTTCACAATTCTCTGCTTTTCATTCTCAATTTCTGCCTCGACTTGGGTCCAATAAATCTGCTTTTCATGCATTAGCTTTGTTACATTAATCAGTATGTCTTTTTGTCGTCTAATCTCCATTTTGATTTTCTCCACTTCCTCTTTAGTCGTGTTTAGAAAGCCGGTCTGATCTGTAAGGCGTTTGCTTTCCATCTCGAAAGCGTCAATTATTTTTTCAAAGTACTGTTTCACATTCTTCATCTTTTCTGCACACATTTTGATCTTATTGTATGATTCAATTGAAGATATTAGATCCTTTGTGTTTTCATTTTGTTGTAGTAGCAGTTTCATTATTTCTAACTGATCCTTTTCTTGGTTCACACTCTCCCATTTTTGCTCTACTTCTATCCTCCGCTTCATCAGAGCATCCTTCTCTACCTCAAGTTCAGCCCACAACGCCTTTACATTTTGTTCTTTCTTTATTCCTTTTTTGACTAATTTTTCATTTTCTTTCCTTGTCAACTCCAGTTCTGATTTCAAAACTTCCATCTCTCTCATTTCCCTTTGCACCTTCTGTAAAGTGAAATCCAATTCTGCTTTTCGTTTACGACTCTCCTCGTTCTCTGATCTGTCTTGGGAACTTCTTTGCTCTTGGATTACACAAAGCAGAGATTTGATTCTGTCCATTTTGTCCTTTATGTTCTTCCTTTCCAAATGGATTTCCTGTAAGTTTTCCAGCTGCTTTCGCCACTCAATTTTAACGTTTTCGAAAACTTCTGTAATCTCCATCGCGACCATCTCAAACCCTCTGTCAATGTTTTTCTTCACATTATAAAACTCGCCAACAAACTCATGAACGTACATTATCCGACTTCCTGTTTCTGTTGTACCTTCTCTTTCCTCGTGCTGCTGAATTACCGCGAGCTGTTTTTGAATGCTTTCTCTCTCTCTGCTAATGACCTCCATCTCCCTAGACAGCTCCTCCCTCTGTCTCTGCATCTTTATTTTCAGTATGTCCAGCTCGTCTCTTTCTCTCATCGTCCTTTCTAGCCTCTGTTCCAGCTCCCTCCTCTGTTTACTGCTTTCTCTTCTCAGTGCATCCCTCTCTTCCCTTATTTGAATCCACATATTTTCCAGTTCGGCTTTTTTCCTCGTAGCCTTTCTGAAAGCCTGTTCACTTTCTCTCCTCCTTACCTCTAGCTCAGCCTTAATCACCTCCATTTCTTTAATTTCTTTTTTGGTCAAGCGCCTCTTATTATCCAGTTGTTGCTTCTGATTTTGAACAATTTGGTTCATATTGATAATTTTACTAATTTCTGATTGCATTTTCATCCATTCGTTTTGTATTCTCAATTTTAAGGTTTCCATGTCTTGTTTTTTGTCCTGCGACTTTGCGCAAAGCTCCTGTATCAATGTCAATAATATTTCATTCTCTTTTATCACACTGTCAAGCTCTTCACTTCTTTTTCGTATCGTTTCAGACATTCGTTCAACAATATCTTTGACGCGTTGTATTCTGTCTATTTTCTGTTGAAGGGCTTCGTGCTGTCTTTGAACTTTCCGTTTCAAAATGTCGAGCTCGTCTCTCGCTCTCATATTCTTTTCTAACCTCATGTCCAGGTTGCGTTGTTGTTTCTTCGCTGTGATTTTGAAAGTCTTGATGCTGCTCAGTTCCTCCTTCAGGTTTCTCATGTCGTCTCTTATCATTAATAAAACTTCTTGGAATTCTTTTATCTCTTGCAGCAGCACTTCAGTGTCAACGCTAAGGACAAACTCTTCCTCCACAAAACAGTCTTCGGATTCTGGCCAGAGCTCCAACTTCACTGCTCTGATTATCTCTATGGTCGTGTACATCTCCTCTCTCAGTCTTTGAATATCACTTGCAGAATATTCTTCATCAACATCTGCCCCCATCGAATCACTCTCCTCGCTTTCCTCTTGTTCGTGCGTCTCTTGTATAATTATTGTCTCTTCTTTTTGCCCCCAAATTGAAGTAAATAATGTTTGAAATGTGCGTACTGTTTTCTGTATCAGCCCATGTGTTTCTACCTTTGCTGATTTGTCCTCTGAATCCAATTTTGCGTCCGGGCTTTGCAGTTCATTTATTTCTTCGATCAGCTGTTTTATGTCTTCACTTGTAGCCGCCATGTTGTCCATATCTGACCTGGTTTGTCCTCTCACCGTCTCCTCCTCATCCATGAGTTGAGAGATTTGTTGTTGGATGTCTTCAATTTCTTGTTCATTCCGCATCATTTCTTCTTGATATTGAAAAGACATTGTTTCATCATACATGTCTCCCTGCAACTCTAAAGAGATGTTGCGTTCTTCACTGTCCATCATGTTTTCCGGCTGGACATAGACTCTTACAAGTGGTGTTTTTTGATTTTCTTTTGCAACCCATCTGTCAACTTTAACTTTCAGGTCTTTCAGTAGTTCCTTTATAAAGAATAAAAAGAAATTAGTGTTTCTAGCTTTAATACTCACTCAGTGCGGATGTAAATTAGCTTGATAGACATTATCTGACATATTTACATTTGTTATATACATGTGATCATTGTCCCTCTCAAATAAATAAATACATTAACAACTGAAACAACTGAATACCAAAAAATATAAATTTATTAAAGACACTTGTTTTGCTTGTTAAAGGTCCCATATTATGGCATTTTCTGATCTATGTTACAATGTTGTCTCCTCATCACAAACTAGGGATGCAACAATATGGTTTTCCTACGACTCAATATGTATCTCGATACACGATATTGATCCGATTTTGATACATTTTAAGATGCAAAAAGAAACCTCATGTAATTTTTTCTGCTAATGAGTGTAACACTATGATGTTAACGCAACAGTACAGTACATACAATGCATTACATTAGAACAACTGTACAGCTGCAGTTTATATGTGAAGTAGCTCCTCCCACACTGCCCTCCTCTTTCTCAACACTAAAACTATGTTATATTACATAGAAATGTCTCAATGGACCGTTTTCTGTGTAAAACTTGTGTGTTAGAGTCTGAGAAATAGATTGTGTATATCGCAGGTCGTGTGGCGGGTGAGTATGTGCACATTAGATTAGATTAGAAGCTGATATAAAGCCAAAAGCGATTCTAAAGCATTTAAAAGTTGATATCTTTGTCATTCTTGGGTCTTTCAACATAAAATTCAAAGTGACAGAAAAATCAAATCCACCTCTGTTAGAATATTTCAGCTGCAAGTCCCTTTGCAGCTGTTTTCTTGTTGCATCTGAGGAGGACGCTGTGATATCTGTTTTCCTTTCTGACCAAGATAAATGACAACACAGTGCACATGGAGGGACACGTGTATACTGACACGTGTATCGAACGAACACGTGTATCAAATTGTGAGACCGTTATCGAACAGTTCAATATTATATCGAATATCGTTGCACCCCAACACAAACAAACTTGAAGTTGTGTTTTATTTCATGCACTGCATATTTACTCTGAATTCTTCTCTCAAACAGAAAATACTCTGTTCCACCTTGTGATGTCATGTGGTGAAGTGGTCTGCTGTGTTTTTAAAGTCCATACATCTTCACCAGAATTATTTGGATGATTTCAGCCCTGGTATTGCTTATCTCTATAAAACTAAAAGTAAAAGGTAGTTTAAACTTTGGAAATGTAGACAGCCGAACAATGAATGATTAACAAATATGCGTGAATGAAACAACTCCAGGTATATTTTTTGAAAAGATAACAGTATTATAACATGTCTTAAAGTTCACAAGAGTCAATTTCCATAATATAGGACCTTTAATTTCACAACATAGCTGTCACTGAAACACCATAATACATAGGCACTACTCACCACATATCGCTTCATTTGCTCTTGATTCTCTCTGGCCTCCTTCTGAACTTCGTGCATCTCTGCTCTGGTGCTGTCCAACTCCTCCACTGTTGTTTTCATACCATCTTTCACACGAGCCACAACCACCATCTTGTTCACCATGTCCTCCATTCTCTGCTGCAGCTCCTGTCTTTGCCGGTCCATTTTGATTTTCATAATGTCCAGTTCATCTCTTTGTCTCATGGTCCTCTCCAGCCGCTGGTCCAGATGCCGTCCCTTCTTCTTAATTTGGAAGTTGATCCATTTGATTTGACTTTTCGTGTCCTGCTCTGTCTCCTCCTTCATTTTAATCAAGGTTCCTTCTTTTATTTTATTAATTTTCATGGTCTTGATCAGATCTTTTTTCCTCAACACTGCCTCTGCACTAGCTGCTTCCATTTCCCGTACCTGTGTGTTTAAATCAGATAACTTCTCATCGAGCTCTTTATTTTGTATCTCAATGTGTTTCTTTAAATTGTTTAACTCATCCATCTCTGCCTTAGCGGCCTGTCTGTCTTGTTCTAACTTGGCTTTCTCTGTCTGGATTTCAGTTTTGATTCGTTCCAAGTGACTTTTTTCACGTTGGACATTTGAATGCATCTCGTCTATGTAATGTTTATCTGCATCCATTTTTAACTTCTGTTGGTTTTCCTCGTGTTCCATATTTTCCCAAAGTTGTTCGATCTCTTTCACTAATCTGGTTGCTTTGTTTAAAATGTGGAAAGCCTCCTTCTCAAGCTGTCTGTCCTCCCAAATTGTTCTAGTTTCCCTGATAATTTCATTTAATAGGTGTTTCTGTCTTATAATTTTCTCTTTTTTAGATTTGATGTTAATTTCAGGTTTGGCCTGTGTCCAGGTTAGCTCTGTTTGTGTGACCTTGTTGTTGTGGCATCTTTGCTCTGAAAAGTGAAAGACATCATATATCAAAAAGAAAAATCGCTTTTATGAGTTTTTAACCATATTATAATAAAGGTCCACTATCATTATGTCACTTGAAGTTGTAATTTGCTTTGATTCATGCACAATTGAGTAATCTCTTTCACCTTCCTCCTATCTCCACCCACCTTTTTATACTTAATTGTGAGGTTCAGTAATGTCACATAACCTTTTCTCAACCATTAAAACATAAATGAGAATCTGGTGCTTTCTATGATAAAATGCTACTACTAAGATGGGGGCATTTTTGAGGAAGTAAATGGACTTTCTATTATTAAATTCTAGATCTAGATGGCTGTTTACAATACAATAAATGAATTAAAAATGTCATACTACTTAAATATTAACACTAAATACAAAAAAGCACATGTTTTCTATAATATTTAACCATAACTATTTGCTATACCCAGTTCTGCCACAATCTCAGCCTCCTTTTCTTTCAGAAGATTGTAAAAGTTGTGTTGCGTCTGTGGCGTTCCCCTCTCCACAGTGTGAAACAGCGCCCTCAGTTGGTCTGTTGGTGTTAAAGCACTGGTGATGTCTGTCCTCTCCTCGTCTGAGACCAGCTCTTGGGACATCCAGGCTTCTACGATGGCTTCAGGGCACTCTGCTCGAGCAATGATCTCCTCCTTGAAATCCTCCAAGAAGGAGACCACTAAAACACAGTAAAACATCTATTATTATTATTATTGATCAAACTTAATCATAAAATAGAGAGTCACCAATATAACTCAATTTACGCAAGTACAAATAGTCAGTAGTCATTGTAGTAGTAGTCAAGCTTTCAATTTTTTAAAATGAGATTAACTCAACAAAACTTAAATCATAGCAACTAACAATTCCAAGATTCTGAACGGGCAAAAAAAAAAAAAAAAAAAACTCCTCAAAATGTCATCTATAAAAGACCTGTGAATATATTGATCTTGGATAATAATCAGCTAATAAAATAATAATTAAAAGAAACTGATGTAACCTTTCACATGCTCCTAAATTTTATGATGTCTTTATTGTTCATTCTTAACATAATTTTTATTTTTCAGCTCTGTAAACAACCATCAAAAGTCTAGCATTTTGCTCTGTTTAGCATTTTTAGTTATGGTGTTAAATACATAAATAATGTATCATTTTATAATAACAATAATTTGATATTTTATTACTTATTTTTCTACATTATTTTGACGTGTACACATACATTTATATAATTATGCCTTATTTGACACCTGACTCTTGTTATCTTTTTTACTACTTATTTAGAATTTATTATTACCATTTATATTTTTTACTATTTGTTATTGTATTATATTGTGATGTGTCTAAAATAATTTCCCTCATGGGTTAATAAAGTTTGTCTAAGTTTAAATCTATAACAAATCTTACCAAACTCTGGTCTTGACTCAGCCATACTCTTCAGTCACTTATTTCTGTTTTTGTGAATGATGTTTTAGACCTAAACAAAACAAAAAAGTTAAAAACGTACCACATCATAGCATATTTTTAACCACTGATTTCAGAATGATGACAAATTAGGACTTTTGCCATAAGAATTAACAATTGAAACACAATATTGTATCTTTTGAATGAGAAATAGTCCACAAAATGTTGAACTAACCTCATTTTTTTGTTATTGTTTCATGTAGGAAATGCGGTGGCTGGTCTCAAGAGTTTTGCTGTTCCTCGTTCTTCAGAGTTAAGTTAAGGTCTGTAGCATGTTAAAGGTCTATATCACAACATAGTCACATGGGGCAGAGTTGTGTGTGCTTTTCTGATTGTAACGCCCTCCGTGTGTGTGTCTGGCTGATAGCTGCTGTTTGGGGGCTGAGGTGGGACTGCACTTGTCTGATAAAGATTTTTATTTTTATTTTTTATTTTTTTTAGAAGTTTGAGTTGCTCTCCCTGGTGTTTATCGTAAGCAGAAAATAGTCATTCATTTCCAATCCAACTTTGTTTATATTGCACATTTTACCAACACATAGTCTCCAAAGTGCTGCACAGAAATGGAAGAATATAAATTAACACTTTGAATAAAATCTAGCATCAAAAATGTATAAGCAAATCAATTAAAATATATCAAATACTAAAATTAGCAATTGAAAAAATAGAAAATGAGACCAATAAAACACAGGACCACACAACTCTCATGCTGGGTTCAAAAGCAGTGAGTAAAAGTGTGTTTTTAAAGGTGAACTGCATAATATTTTAGTGGAGGATCCGCCCCCTGCTTGTCTCCATAGAAACTTCATTGCTTTGTCTAGAATGTTCCACAGCATAGATTAAATCTAAGGGAGATAAGCAGTTTTCAGCACTATGCTACATTACAATTCAGATGTAGGGAGAGTCACCTCTATTCACAGAAGGAATTATATTTTTGACCAATAGAGAGACTCACAATGAATAAATGCTAGATGGATTTGTTTAATGTCATGCTGTGGAACATTCCAAGGAAAGCAATAACATCCCCATGGAGACAAAAAGATGGCAGAGTTTCTGTTAGAAAAGTTACGCAGTGCACCTTTAATTACGATTTAAAAGCATCAACTGAAGGGGTGGTCTTAATGTGAGGGGGGAGAGCGTCCCAGAGTTTGGGGAAGACCACAGAAAAGGTCCGGTCACATTTATTTACAAAGACATTTTATAATCCAATCATAGAACCTGTCATTAAAGGGGCTGTACGTAACTTTTCTCCATGAGGAAGTTATTGCTTTACATGGAATGTTCTGCAATCTTTGATCTCCATAAAGAGAAGGTAAAAAGACCAGACCAAATTACAGGTCAAATCTGTGCAGAGGCAAGCACTCTCACAGGAAACATTTTAGTTTTTCTAGGTATGATTTAGCCATAACATCTTCAGGGGGGTAATCAAAGAGGCGCATCAATCATAAGAAAAGTTACATAATGTGGTTTTACTTTATCTGACTCTTTCTTTAGACCAGTGTTTCCCAAACTTTTTCTCTGGGGACCCATATTTAAAAGTCACAAACCTTCGTGACCCAAGTCAATAGACTTTATTCGTAATCACAAAATAAAGGTGAATTTGACCATTATTGAGAATATTAAGGAGGATATTTGATTGTTGACTGACTATTGTTGATTGTCTCTCTGACCAATTAGTATAACTCAAGTTTTAAACAATGAAAAACATTCGTTGAACCAGCAATAAAAGGATCCATAAGTCGCCTATTTTTACATTAAATGTAGCTCATTTCTTTTTCTTTTCAACGTTCAACTGAACCAGCAATACTGGAACAAACTAATCTGTAGAACTGTATATCACACACCTACATGCAGATTGTGACAAGGTGGCTCAAAAATAAATCTCTTGCAACCCACCTGAGGGTCGCAAACCAGTCTTTGGGAAACACTGCTCTGAAGGCTACATCTGTGTTATAAATGTTGAACACTATCAGTTCTTACAAGCTATACTCACATTCTTAGTCTTTTATAAATGTGTTATTTCAGAAACAGTGCACTAAATATATTGTATTTATTGGTTTATATAAAGTTAAGGTAACAGTGGATGAACCGTGTAAACTACTGTACAGTATTTCACTTTGAAAATTACAGTGTAAATAAACGCCATCTACTGGTCAAAGTAAAAACCTGAGAAAGCAAATCGTGTCATTTTTATCTGATCAAGCCTCATACTCCACTTGTAGGATGTCCAAAAAAGTTTTTCTAATATTGCCTAACCACAACATACCACGTGCATGAAAAACAAAGTTAAAATAATGCTGACTATTATTAAAGACAGTTATTATTATTATAGTAGTGTGTAGGATGCAGCTTACTAAGCATGTAATTAGTGGTTAATTACTAGAAAAGGAGTGTCAATAAAGAATAAATGACTGTTTAGCCCAAAGAATGTCGTGTAAACTGTTACTCATAAATCCAGCTTCATACCAGCGGACTTGGATCATCATAAGTGGACCTTTACTGACGTCCCCGTGCGTTTTATTATGAAACTGTGCAGGGGCTTCATATTTGAGACACCCACGCGGCTCCTTGTGTCACTTCCGGTTCAGTGCCGTGTTTTCAGACCGAGCCATGGATCTCGCGGAGTTGTGTGGATTTATTTGGGAGCGGTCTTTCTCCTGTCACTCTTCTCTACGGCTGCAACAAGAGACACACGCACGGGAGGAAGTCACACCAGGAGGTCTTCACATTAAAAGCATTTCCAATTCACCCTCCAATAGTAATAAACTGTAACAAAACTGCTCATTCACTTGAAAGAAAATATACACGTTTTTGTTATAGCTGGTAAAAGAACAGGTCAAAGCAATTATTAAGTTAAGTATTAATTTATTTAGGGGAAATCATAAATTATTTCGTCTGGGCAGTGCGCAGAGGGAACCGTGCGCGCCAACTTGGACTTGACCACAACTTTTTACCTGGCCCTGCATAATACAAGCTTTTTTCCTTTCTTACTTGGTTGCTTTCTGGAAAACATGACTTCATACTTTGAAAGCAGTCATTATACTTGAAATCTTAAAAAAAAAAACACACACACAAGGCAGCTATAGTGGAAATAAAGTTACAACTAGGCCTATAAAGATTTGACATGTAAAATACATTTGAAGGGCAAAAAACAGCGCTTATTTTGAGCTTTAGTAACTTTTATGTTATTAAAGTTCACGTTTCCTGTTTATGGTGTTGTGTTTTTCGTTTATGGATATTATTACAAGTGATAGTTTAACATTTTTACCCTCATGTTACCCCATACTTCACTGTAACTTTGTCATTTAGCTTTAAAATATATATAAGCAAAACAGGAAAAGCGAGGTGGAAATAGTTTTTGTCGTGCGTCTTATTTTGAAATGCACAGATCCAGTGGTGCGTGTGCCACTGCGCGTCTTTACGCAGATGTCGCGGTACAAACATGTACTGTGGAGAGGAGCTCAGAGCCTCGCGTTGATCTAACTCCAGACAGTTTGAGTGGAGCGGAGTGTTTGCGGTACGGCTGGAGAAGATGGGCGCTTTGGAGTGAAGTTTGGCTCGTACACAGCCTGGACACTTCTCCGGGCTCTGCTTTCTCCGGACTCTTGGACACTCCTTTTTGTGTGCGCTGGATGTGGTGGACCGAGTTCAGGAGAGATCCCCGCAAACATTCCCCATAGCTCGGTAAGTTGGGACTTTACTTCCCTTTGAACTGATTTGATCTGAAAGCTGTGAAAAGCCCGGAAAGCTCTAGGCTAGTTATTTGTGGCATAAGGCAAGGGCTAGTTTACTAACTCCCCCGCGTCTCTGCTCCTGTAGGCTACAGTTACCTCTCAGAACACAGAATATTATCGCCTAAAACAAAGAATCTTATTTAGGGCTGTGGACTGTAGCCTACGTGACGCAACTTTTTTGTAAACAACCCAGCATGCAAGGCCATGAGGAGCACATCATCTTATAGACAGACTACTCAATTTTATTCCGCTTTTTTCTCTCTTCTCTTTTAATGTCAGTCTCTTAATGTACATTTTATGATGATTATTGAAGTTATTTATGTTTGTGTTGCATTGTATTGTATTTTCTTATTCTGTGAAGCACTTTGAAGTACTTTGTATGCTATTTAAAAAACTTAAAACTGGTAACACTTGGTAAAATTAAATCTGTTTACTTCAATTTAACTTTGGACCACATTTTCTTAAACTTTACCCCTATAAATAATTGTGATTGGGCTATATTTTTATTACTTTGTTATTACTGTCCACCCACGCGTAAACATTTTACTGATATCTTATCTCAACTTTGACAATTAAAATATACAACAAGTCAACAAGATGACCCAAGAAACTTTTGTGTCAGTTTTTAGGAAATGGCAACAGCTCTGAGTGGCCGAGCTCCAGGAGGACGAGGACCAAACCGGAGCAAGGGTCGGATTTTGGGGATCATAGACGCCATTCACGACGCGGTGGGCCCCCCCAAACAAGCGGCTGCAGACCGACGCACAGTGGAAAAAACATGGAAGTTTATGGACAAAGTTGTAAGTGCTGCATTTTTGTGACTTTATACGTCTTTTAGAACTTATTAGGCTTTTTCCTCCTCTAAAACAAGATATGATATCACCAATAAATTTCTTGGGTTCTTTTTAAAAACAATATAACAGTATTTACCTTGTTTTGGCGGTTTGAAGCCATCTTCAGGACTGTAGGATTACCAGTTTTAAGTACTTTGATTATTTACTTCCTCGGTTTTGGTTTTGCCCTACTTTAATTTCTACCTTGAAAATGTTATCACCGCACTCATTTTAGAGACATATTATGCGAAATCGACTTTTTAAGAGCAGTCAAACGTAATATTTTTTCCCCAGCCTCATTTAGCCTACTCACTCAAAGTTATATTTAGAATAATCTTTATTCCTCTGCAATCAAGATGCTATTGCTCTGAAAATTCCCGATTTATCCTAACCCCTCTACTTTTTACTTACTGTTCTCCAATATAAGGCTATTTTTAAAAAATAAAATAAAAATGATGATACACGTATGGTTCAGCTTCAGGGATTTTGGTACAAATCAAAAACAATCTAAACAATTTGGGAAAAATATTGTAATATTTTAATCTGTATTAAATTTGCAATTTTATAACAAAAAGATTCTGTTCAAAGTTCAGATTTTATACTCGTTCAGAAGAATTGATAAAAATATGAACAACAGGGTGAGCATGTTTTGCAGAATAAGACCGGATATTTTGTTGTTTGTGGAGGAAATTACAGTATATTTCAAAAATTGCTGCCTTTGCGATTTGCTAATTATGTCCATTCAAATTGCGGTACTTTGTTGTGATGACGTTTGATCCACAGGCACCAAAGTCTTAAACAGGAGACAAAATCATAATTAATGTGTCTGTGCACTGTGTAAGTGCAGTGTAACTTGAAATGTTTCACAGTACAGCATTAAATTTATTTATTTCGATGGAGACCAAGGTACTGACCAGTTCAGAGAGGTGATGCATGTTTTTAAAGGTATTTCTGAACAATAAAATCACCTCTAATCAAACAAAAGTGGAGTAGACTTTTAATGCTATACTGTGGAACATCCCAAGCAAAGCAATAACATCTCAGCAAAAAAGTTACACGATGCTCCTCTAACATTATTGTCTGTTGGCAGGTTCGCCTCTGTCAGAACCCCAGATTACAGCTGAAGAACAGTCCCCCGTATATCCTGGATATTTTACCTGACGCCTACCAGCACCTCAGGCTAATACTGGGCAAATATGAGGAGAACCAGAAACTCACACAACTCAGTGAAAATGAGTACTTTAAAATCTACATTGACAGCCTGATGAAGAAATCCAAGAGGGCGATTCGGCTTTTCAAAGAGGGCAAGGAGAGGATGTACGAGGAGCAGTCTCAGGACAGGTGAGTCTGCTGTTTTAAAGAAGAATATTGTGCTTTTGTCTGCGACATCTGTGGATTATTGTGTTATCATTTGGACATTTTGAACCACAATATTCATCTAAAACAACTTAATGGTGCACTGCGTAACGTTTTGGTTGGGGAATGTTCCACAGTAATACATTAAACAGCTTCACTTTATATTTATTCAATTACAGGTAGTTTTATAGCTCAAAAATACCTAAATAAACAGGCGATCTGACTCTGAGCGGGGGTGCTTCTCCACAGATCTGACACTATTTTTACACTTAATGTCATATTGTGAAACATTTCAGACAAAACCATAACATCTCCATGGAGAAAAAAAAAACTTTTGACAAACTCTCCAATAGAAATGTTAAAAAATGCATCTTTAAAGAAGATATATTGCGCTTTTGTCTGCTATATAGTTTAATTATGATACCTGTGGATCAGTACGTTGTAATTTAGACATTTTAAATCACTATATTCACCTAAAATGACCTAAGAAACTATTTTGCTGAAGAGTCTGCAAATGAGGTCTTGAATACAGGAATAGAAAGATTGCTCAAACCCGCATGAATCACCGTAAATACAACCTTGAGTGGATAAATGAAAAGAGGAAAAAACTATGACATGATTAAAAGTTCAAAAAAGTTCATTTCGCATAATATGTTTTAAATCTACGTCCCTTTAAGCCTTTAAGTGTGTGTCATATTTTTACGCTTAAATACTGTGGTTAGTGAAACATTTTTGGCATGAAGATTTACCTGCAGAAACCTGTTGAAACCACCTGACAGAGTTTTTTAGATCCTGTTTGCAGCATAGTAATTACTGTCTTGACCTTCTCCGACTTCTCTTTAGAAAAGTTTTGATAAATTTAAATATTCTTTCACATCATTAGCAGGTCAAAAGGTACTAAATTTGTATTGAAACTATATACTAATTTTAGCAAGTATTCATACTAAAAAGTCACGTTCGCAAGACAGAATTGACCTTTTTCTGAATAGATTTAGAATGATTTTGAGCTCTATCAGGACAAGTATAAGAATACATAGACTAGTATAAAGAAAATACTATGATTTATTATTAAAATGTCTAAATAAAGTGTTTTAGAGTGTTTTTTTTATTATCATTGTGGTTTTGGAACTGGTATTCACGATCAAGTCTATTCCTTCTTACTGAAACTTCTTACTGCTTATATTACTGTAGTGTGCTTGTCCAGTGGAAACTAATGAGGATCAAGGTTTTTATATCTGTTGTTGCAGTTAGAAAAACTGTGGTCCATGTAACTACTAATAGAATGTGGAAGAAATAAGTGCAGTGAAAGCATCGTGTGATTTGTGAGGCGTCATGTGCGTTTGCCACTGTGTCACTTTGATGAGTGGCATTGTTCAAACATATGATCTCTTTAGTTTTCCACTGACTGGCTCACATCTAATGACTGCTTTATGTGCTGGTTCACTGTCAGTTGTGATGAGTCGTTGTAACTATGGAAAACCTTTCAAGTGACTTTGAAATGATGAAATACCCCCACAGAGAAATTAACATTTTGTATTAGATTAAAATGTCATTCAGTTGAAGGCAGACATCAGGTGCACAGTGTGTGAGACAGGTCTAGACAGCAGCCCACAGAGCACAGCACACACACATACAGATATATGCATATGTAGGTGTGTATGTGCAGTATATCTCCTCTCTTTGGAGACAGAGTGATGCTGATCTACACTGAGAGCTTTGTCCACTTCAACAGGGTCAGACCAAGGGCACGCAGCGGGCCCTACACTGATCCTCAAACTGCCACAAACCTGAGCTGAGACTTCTCTACAGCCTCCAGTATCTGCGCTGTCGTCTTCACTGAGATGAGCTGTGTGTGACGCAGTCTGACCCCGTCACTCTCAGAGAGCGGGAAGTGCTCACAGAGAAGTGAAATACACAGTTCAAGCAAAAGAAACACGCTCAGGCCTCATCAGCGAAAAGAAATGATGCAGTCATTTTAGGTTATCAGAGCACAGCCAGTGCTCCTGCTGTTAAGTCTTTATCTTCCACTGGAAATTGCAATCATGCAAAAAGGCAGCGTCACATTTGTACTGACCGGGTCTGTGTGCTGACAGCGCTGACAGGAAGTGTATGTAAATAACAGCATCAAATAAGACTCATCGGTCTTATGTTTACTCAGATTAGCTAAACAAATTTACTTTGAGCCAGCTATATTTCCTCTTTAACAATGACCTAAATGCGTTATAAACACTTAGTACTGACTCGAGCAGCGGATGTGAGGTGGGTGATGAGGAGAAATGGGTAAAACTGTGTTGAATCATGTAAAAAACAATTGTCTGGAAACACTATTATACAGTCTGTCATCAGCTCCAGTTGTGTTTGTGGGTATATATAATATCACACTCACATGAGAAAATGTGATACTTTCCACCATTTCACACCAAAGGTCTTTTTGCAAAAAATGTTAGATTTAATTAAGTATAGATTTTAATTAAGAATGTGACGGCTCCAGTGGCTCTCAGGAGCTCTTGTCGTGTGCAGCACAGAGGGAAACTCCCCTTGTGCTTTTACATCCTGTTCATATATTTCCTGCATAAGCCTCAAATAGTGTCCGGGTGCGTTTGATTTGTCTCTCAGAACAGCTTGAATCATTCCTCATGCTTTTCCCTGGGCCTGCATGGACATTAATTGCCTCTTCTTCACCTCTAAAGCTCCCAGAGGGCTGTGCCTGTGTCGGCTCAATTTATCAAGTCCACTGCACTTCATTAGCATCAGTTACTATACAGTAAACAGCTCACGTATCAGATACTCTCCACCTAAAACACAAGGCCTTGTGGCCAGTAGAACTAACCTGGCCCTGGGTGATGTAGACTATTTCCCATGAACCCCAAACATACAATAGAATAATCCTTCAGGTGCTCCTGGCTCCAGATCTGAGAGGGGCCCTGGGCCCTGTCCCTGCTGCTTCTACATCGTCTAAAGGCTGCACTGGGGCAAATATTGAGGACACATTTCCCTGAGGGACGGTTCTACAATTAAAATGTCCACTGAGAAACTAATGTATGATTTATTGTTTATCAATGATAATGTAACGATAACTAATGTCTCCATTAGTTCTGTTGTTTGCAGAATATGTAAACAGACTCTGAATTGTAGTCTGAGTGTAGTGGAGAGCTGTTTCTGCTTGGTGCAGGTTCTAAGTGTAGCTGTAAAGCCTTTGTCCCAGATGAAGGGTCACTTGAGTTTTTCACTTTGAGCACAATTCAAAGTGACTTTGTGGATTGCACAGAAATGTGTGAAGTGGTTCTAATAATTGTTGGCATTGCCCTATGCGGATACAGTATTGGATTACTGGCATAGACAATATTATATGACTGTAGCGAGATTTGATTTCATTATTGACGGGTGTTATAGACTTTATAGCATTGGCTTTCATTACATTAGGGGTGGTATTACTCTGTGGGCATGTGTACCTTCTGTCCTGGGATATAAAGTACTGTAAAACTCTTTGATACTTGTTCTCTAGATCTTCTCCTTCGTCTGAACATTTATTGTTTTACTGAGTGGTTGTAATGATGTTTTATAGTCTGAACTCTCTCGTTATCGACAGAAAACAAAATGGAATCCAGCTGATCTGTACGAAAAAGTCACAACCCTTTTTTTTGCTTTTTTTGTTGAAAGATGTTTTAAATGTGACATTTTAGATTATTCCATGGTTGTATAAGCAGTTACATCTTATGACTAAAGAATGCTGGCTTTGGCTTTCTAAATTGCCAAATTAGTTAAAAAGTTCAGATGTAATGCTCATTTCACTGGAATCAAACTAGATTTGAAGAGGTGACGTCAACAATTAATGACTTTTAGAATAATATTTATCTCAAAATGTAATTTATTTTAAAACTTTTTTTTTTTTTTTTTTACACATAAAGCAATCTTAAAACAATATTTTTTAAGCCTTTAATGTTGTCTACTTTTTTTAAGATGAACAAGCACCAATGTCGTTGTGAAAAATGTTCAGCAGTGGGGTGGGAGGGCTGTAGAATTTTGGGTAGTATTGCGATTTGATATGCAATTTATATTTTAATTGTAGGATTCTATTAAAAAAATCACAGTTTTAACACAAGACAATGGCATTAAAGGGGGAGAAGAATAAATGAACTAATACAAGAATCTCATGCATTTCCAAACATGTTTTAGAGTCTTCACTACAGGGTTATGAATGTTTGAACATAATAATGGTTTTATTATGTGAACAACGGACATTATGTCGACCAAATAATTGCGACGATTCAGATTTGGTATTCAGTTGTGATATACTATCTTGCAACCAGTGTTTGGGTCTCATTAGTTGGCTGCTCTCTGTGTGGGTGAGAGTCCTGCTTGTGCATTTTATCATTGAGCTGCCATTGCTAGCATCCAAACAACGTTACTCACAATGTTCCCTGACAAAGATTCATTAAAGGAGCAGCGTCTCTTTTTACAAAATAGTCCAGTGATCGTACATCTGGTCCCACTCTTGTCTCCAGGGATGGGCGAGGCCTCTGAGTCCCACAGACCAGACTGTTTCATATGCTTGATTAACTGCTTTGATTGGACCCCGGACCCCCTTTTTGTGGCGGCTGTACCCCAATTTAAGCCATCTGATGTCCACGCACCCCCCACCAGCCCCTCGGCCCTGATACTCTGTCTTCACTGTCTACGGCCGACCACCTGAGCCCACCACATCCACCATACGTCTTCATTTTACACGCACATGTGATGAGAATATTAATGAAGAAGCCAAACAAAAGGAGCAGTACTTTTTGTGCGATTTTTGATCAAATGTGTGCTCTCTGTTGTTTCTTATTGTATGATTTATTTCGCTGTACTTTGTGGCTGAATACCATAATGCTAGAATAGAAGTATAGACTGTATTTATAAATGGACACAGCAAACCCGCTGCCGCCGCATTAGATATAGAAAGTGTTCTGCGCTTCCGGCTCTATCGACTTTACATTGAAGAACTG